TCACCAACAAGTTACATTTACGTACCATTAGTGCCAATATTGGCATGTTGGGAACAATATATGAAAGAAATAACTGATTAATTAGTCTTTTTATCGGAGGTCTTATTTTTTTTGCAAAAAGAATGAAGAAATAATCATAGTAACCATTCAAGAATCTTACTCCCATTTTCAAACCCATTCACATCTATCACACGTGTTATATGTGTCTAGATCGACCTTTTTAACTTTCCGATGCATGGTTCAACCGTTTGAATGTGTCGACATGGATGTGGTGGACCAACATATCACACCACTATGCTTTTCAATTACTAATACAAAATTAAGAAAGTAAGGAAAAAGGTTTAAGCTGTCACATTCTGTCTTGGCCTAACTTTGAATGGAAAATGCAATGCCTGCGCCCTCTTTTCTTATACTTGACTAACATATACTATTTTGCCTTTTTCTAATTAGCCTTGTAGCTCAAACTCTAAATTATATTTATTAATTACCAGTCCTATTTTGCATTTGTAAGTCAACCTAACTTAATGTTGACTATTTTTTTTTCTTTTTTAAAGAAAAAAATATTATCTTAAATTTACTTCCAAATGTGATAATAATTTTTTTTTTTATATTAATTAGCTTCCTATTAACCAATTTTCTCATGAGTTAAAAACAAGCCTCACTTAAGACTTATTTCTAACGGTAGGGTGTATGATTCAATTCCTATCACAAATATTGAATTTTGGATTTTGATTAGTCCGCAAAAATGTATAATTTTGTGTGAAGTCTCAAAGCTAGATTGATTTGATTTACATTCTCATGAACCTTGGTTCGGGTTCATGGGGTTTAAGATATAGCTCAGTGAAGTAAAAATACTTGGGTTACAAAAAAAAAAAAAAAAAAAAAAAAAACTACAAAAGCGAGCAGCTAAGTGTGTGGAGCATTTGATCCCGAATCTTTTTTATACTAAAACTCTTAACCATAGATGAACCATGATAGTCCTCACTTTCTACAGCAAAGATTTGTTTTCATTTGAACACACCTCTATGTATATACTCCTAAATTTTGCCTTATTATTTTCCTCCTAACGTAACACTATCTAATTGAATAGTTCAACATTTGGTAAAAAATATATGGGGTTTATCAATTCAATGCACTTAATGAATATAAATAATATTAGGTGAAAGTTATGAAGAAAAAATAACATTCTTTTATATAAAATATATAACGGTTTGAAAATAGAAAGTAGAACGTAAACGTGTAAAAAGATAATGGAATAAGGTTCAAATTGGCCACTGAACGTAACCTGAAAATGCAATTAGGTCACTGAACGAAAAAAAAAGTGCAATTAGGTCACTGAACACTCCAAAAATATACAATTTCACCTGATAGCAGGTTACCCTCAATTTTAGCAGGTTATCTGCTTACGTGGCAGCTGAGTTGGCATTTTTAATAAATTTTAATTAATTTTTAATAAATTTTAATAATAACTTTTTATTAAATTTTTTTTAAAAAAATAAAAACGACTTTATTTTATTTTTTATTTAATTTTTTCTAATTTTTTAGAAAATTTATTATTAAAATTAATTATTAACAATTATTTAAAAATTATTAAAAATGCCAACTAAGCTGCCACGTAAGCAGGTAACCTACTAAAATTGATGGTAACCTGCTATTCGGTAAAATTGCATACGTTTGGAGAGTTCAGTGGTCTAATTGCACATTTTTTGAGTGTTCAATGACCTAATTGCACTTTTTTTCATTCAGTGACCTAATTGCATTTTCAGGTTATGTTCAGTGGCCAATTTGAACCTTATTCCAAAGATAATTTGGATTTCAAATTTAAAGGAGGTATAATACACGGTTTGAGTATTACTTAGTACGACAGTTGATTCATCACTCCGAATCACGATCATCTTTAATTTATAGAGAAAAAGTGGGAAGAAAAAATCAGAGATGATTTGAATTGAATTTAAACGTGTTTTGGGTAGATATATGATTGTGAGGTGGTTCAACCGACCACAAACCTAGTCCTTCATTATCCACAACGAGTTTGTTTTGACTATGGCTAGCTCCAATGGACTATTTATATTGTCTCATGCACTTCATAATTAATGTTACGACGTGGTCAAGTATACTCCATAACAATATAAATAAATAAATAAATAAAGCCATATTTTATTATTATTATTATTATTATTATTATTATTATTATTATTATTTTGGGATAATGACTAGCTTTCACTCGATCGAAGACATGCAGAAAGTCTGATCTTGGAGCAAGAAAACGGATGCGCGTTGCTAACGCAGCAAGAAAACTCCTGCAACAAGCAACGGCTCCTCGCCAACAAACAACATAAAAGAAAATTCAATATCACCATTAGATTTTGATTAAGAACAAAAACTGGCATAAAAATTGTCATACGTTTATGAAGATGAGGTATGGGATTTGAGCATGGATTAATTGGTTAAGACGATATTTATTTTAGTCGCAAAGGTCAATAGTTTAATTCGACCACTTATCAAAATAATTTACCACAAAAAAAAAAAAAAAGATTAAATATTGCTAGGTTATATAAAAAAAATATAAATAAAAAAATCTAAGTGATTAAATTTTAGAAAATAATCTCAAAATCTCAACGGAAAAAAAAAATGAAAATAAGGAAAATTCAAGTCATGTTTAACATACGCACTCTTTAAAATCGATTCATTAGAGGGTGTTGCTAGGAGCGTAGTAGTATTAGTCTCCCAAGATAAAATAAATTACAATAATATAGTTAAACACTCAAACTATATTACTTTTAACGAATTAGAACACAAGGAGAACACTTCGAATTTTCGAAGGTGTTGACATAATTTTTCCAGAAGATGTCTAATTAAGCTTAGTCATCCATACTTCCAGAAGAAGCACCAAAGTGCTTAATCAACAAAGCTTAAGCTAATTGAGCTTAAGCACAAAGTACCATACCATTCGACTTCTCTTATTTTTTTAATCTCAAATAGATTTACATTATATTGATAATCAATATATCAATTTTTCGTCTCATTTCAAAGAACTCGAATTCACTTTGACCCGATCCAAATTGAAAGTGGAACCTCACATATATTTGTATCACAAAATAGCCATTTAAAATGTCATTTTTACTAAAAATAAAAAAATTAACAACCTCCACTTATGAGCTAACTTTTGTGGTAGTTAAAGTTTTGACTTGAGTGTTATATCATTTGGTATTCTTGTTGAGGGTTGATAGGTATTAGAAAAGGACTATCTAATAATGCTGGATAAGGTTCAAAGAGAACCAATAAATGTCCTTTTTTTTTTTTTTTTTTTTTTTTTTTCAAACTTTTGAATCTTACGCTATCTATGCAATCTACAACAGAATTTTGTTGTGAATTTAATTATATACGGAGTATAAAATAATGGTCATGACTCAAAAGCATTTGATCTCATTTTCATGTAATTAATTATTTGGTGTGGTGGTTTCAAAAAAAAAAAATTTATTTGGTGTGGTGAGGTATATAAATAATCATGTTAAATGTTGGATGAGAATTTCAAATCATGAGGTAATTATTAGTCACGATAAACTTGTAAAATGACATATATATATATATATATATATATATATATATATATATATATATATATGTGTGTGTGTGTGTGTGTGTGTGTGTGTGTGTGTGTGTGAGTATACATATACACAATGGTCGCGAGCGTACCAAATGTCAATTGGGCCAATGCAACTTGTTCAGTTCTGAGCTAGTCCTATTGAACTGTTGGATTTATCGATTTGAACTAATTGTTTTTTTTTTCCCCCTCATTGTGTTCAAAATTCTTGATCCTAACTCTAAAACCTCAAATTTCGGGCTGATTAGTGAACTCACCTAAAAATTTTACATTTTCAAATTAACATTTTAAACTTTCAATTTTAATGAACTAACACATTTACCTTAAGAAATTTTATATATATATATATATATATATATATATATATATATATATATATATATATATATATATATATATATATATATATATATATATATATCAATATAAACCTTCTAAATTTAACTAACAATAATTAATATATTTACAGTATGATATACGGAGTAATAATTATAATAAGTTGAATTGTATTCATTAATTAATTTCATAAAAAAATATTTTTTGTAAGAAATTTATTAAAATGTTATATACAAATTTATTAAAAATTACTAAAGATGTGAGTTTAGATATAAATTTCATTCATATATATTTTGTTTCATATCACTTGTGAAAAAGAAAATAGCCTTAACTGGCTCGAGCTATTGGGAATCGAAATTTCCATGCATGGTGCATACGGATGCACAACATAATTTGCCCAATGTTTAGGAGCTCTTTGCAGCGTTGGACCCTTTTGTTGTAGTCCCATTCCGGCGCTGGGAAAATGCTATCCTTGTTGCTACCCCCTATTGCGAATTGGGATTATCATTTCTATACAATTCTGGAAGAAGAAGAAGGCAATTATCATATCCGTTTGACTACAAACGTTTCCTTAGTCATGTGTTCCTGTATATGTAGGCCACATTTTTAGTAAGTGTTTTAATTTAATGTCAACTTTCAAAACCATTTATTGTCGTCACATGTAGAGGTCAATGGACTTTGTTACTCATGCATTAGCAAAAGCAGCAAACTCTCAAGTTGACTCTTGTTCTTGAAATTGTTTTCCTCCGAACTTTATTTTGCCTCCTATTACTATTTCGTAATAATAGTTTTTTGGTTTTGGCTTTAAAAATATAATAATATATCTTTAATAAGATTAAATTCCATAAACATTCAAAAAAAAAAAAAAAAAATTCCATAAATATATTGGAGTCTATAAGGTGGGAATTCAATAGTCACTCCTTGCAAGTCACTTAATAAATCTGCCCCTTTTTTTGGTTTTGGCTATAAAAGAAATACGGAGTAATAATAAATAATAAATCTTTAATAAGATTAAATTCCATAAATATATTGGAGTCTAAGGTGGGAATTCAATACTCTGCGTGCAAGACAATTCATGACTCTGCTTCCGCTCCCTTCATTATTGAACAAAAGAGGGAAAGTAATGCGTTTGCCGGGAGTCAAACCCGGGTCTATTGCTTGGAAGGCAATTATCCTAACCGTTGGACTACAAACGCTTCTTGTTCATAGATTAATGCATCACTTTAAAGATCCCGAGAACGTAGAACTTTCATAGTGTTCTACTGTTCTGCAGCTCCATTTTAGGAAGAACCGAAGAAGCCACCAATGAAAATTGAAAAAAGGGGGAAAAACAAAAAGATGGGAAGCCTGTCAGACAGCCAAGAGGCCATCCCAGCCGCGGCTAGACGGCCGGGAACGATCCTCAACAGCTCCGCCTGGCGAAGGTACGGTCCTGTTACTCACGCTCTAGCTTCTTGGCCATATCTCATCCACCAGGCTTAGTTTCCTGTCTCCTTTGAACTCAAGGATACAGAGGTACAAGCCTACAGAACAGATCCTGTTCAAGTATGGTCGTGACCAAGTTTCACAAATTGAACCTTATATTTTGGTTTCCAGTTTCATAGTTGGCCGGTGTGGGATAATTTCTCAGTTTTTGTTGTCGAACTGATGAGTTGATAAACAGTTATTGATTCGATCATCATCAATTCATCGCTTCATATATAGTTGTGTATAATTAATTCCGTTAGGGATTGGGTGTTGCGGTTTAGGAGAAAGTTAATCTCCTTCGTTTAATTGGATTCATAGAGAGAAATATTAGGTATCTTTGGAAAGATGAGAGTCTGAAGCTTCGTCACTGGCTGTATGTTATCTTAGGTTTTAGTTAGTGATGATAGATGCAACTAACAGTTTCATATTTGTCCTAAATTGAATGAGGATCTAAAAGTATGAATTATCCTAAAATAGTTTATATATTAGTGAGTGATTGAGAGGGGTGAGTGGCGCAAATTGAATGAGGATCTAAAAGTATGAATTATCCTAAAACAGTTTATATAATTTCGGATTTCAGATTACTGCAAAGAGTGCAGTAGTCTTCCTGAGTATTGGAGAGGCTATTGCTAAAAGCAAAAGATCACCTGAAAAGCTATTTGTCGTTCTACATATGTATCAATTAATGACTGAACTTCATCCACAAGTAGAGCAGAGTTACTTCCTACTTTTCTCTTTTATGCAATTACTCTCCTTCTTGTGTCTTTAATGGCTTTACGCTTTGACTTCTAACTACTGTTGGTAACAGATGGATATAATATTTGGAAGCAAATATTTTAGTGAAATGAGACAAGCTGCTCTCATTTTGACTAAACATTTGGCTCAAACGGCTAAGAATACCTTAGCAGATTTTGAGGAAGCAGTTGAGAAAGATGCCACAAAAACTGTTGTTGATGATGGAACTGTCCATCCATTAACTAGCTATGTCATCAATTATGTGAAGTTTTTATTCGAGTAAGTCTAATCACCTCTTTTCTTTGTGTATTTTCTATTTTTTTTCCAAGGTTTGAACATTTTGTTATTGACTTATGATGTTGCTAGTTTTGTTCTTTACTCCATGGGTTATGTTATACTATTCTTGATTGATTGATATTTGCTATGTGTTTACAAATTGTTACTCTTGATAGCTTCTAAGTTAAATTACACGTATCAACAGCAATCGATCAACTCTAACACACTTTTTTCGAGAGTTTGATGTGGCATTATTTATTTTTGTTATGAAATTTGTAATATTATTTTGTTGACGGCCTCGCGAGTCATGATTATGCACCACATATATATAGCATTTACACAACAGCTGCCCTAGCAACTTGTATAATATGCAACGAAAAATCTCAAGTATTTTGGTAAGGGATAACATTATACTTTAAACCGGTTTCAAGTTTGACTCTTTATTGGAGTTGTCTATACATCGACCTTTTTTATTTGAGACGATCAGGGATAACCTAAACAAGCTTAACTACTCATTGTAGTTCTTTGCCAATAACACTACAAATCAGGTGTCACCCAAAGTGCATATCCAAATAGTGAGTGTGAATTACCACGTAAATCAAAGATTAAAGAAAAACATAAAAATAATGATGTAACATTGGTGATAAGTAGGGTGACAATGTAACACATTTGTCAATGTCTTTAAGTATTTTTTTTATTGATGATACATCACGTTCTCAACACTGTCTTGTTCAAATTGAAAAACCCAATCAATAATGATAATATTGAGAGATCCATTCCTGTATGATTTCTACCTCCTTCCTCCTCACATCTTTTAGCCATTTTGGATCTTCCTTTGTTGAGAATTTAAGGTCCACATGATGCGCACCTATTGCACCAAAAAAAAAAAAAAAAAAAAAAAAACAAACAAACAAACAAAACAAAACAAAAAATCTTTAGAAGAATATATTATATACAGTCTCATTTGTATTTAAGCGCATGTAAATATATAATTTATGGTGTCTAAAATTTGATATTTGAGAAGCACCCACTTTTAAGTTATATATTAAGGTGGTCATATAATCGATTCCAACACCTTAAAATGTGTATGAGAGAGATTTACTAACACCTTAAAATGTGTATGAGAGAGATTTACTAACCTTCTTTTGCAGTGATAGCAACTAAAGATTTAGAGATACTTTTTAACACCCTGTCATATTAAAGAAAAATTATTTTCATCAATATAAATGTCAAATATTTTTTAAGTACATAATTAAATAAGTAAAAATGCACAAAAAAAAAAAAAAAGAAGATTATTTATAATTTTATACTTACCCTCCTGCACTCCATGGATCCCTCAATCCGTTAAAGAAGATGATGTTGCTACCAAACTTTTTTAAAACCCTCTCAATGTTCTGTTTATTCAAACAACATTTGAACAATTGAAGCTCTTTTTTCTTTAATGACAATATAAAATATAAATATTGAAAAATTCAACAATGTCAATTCTGGAAATAATGACTGATAAAAATAGCAAGTAACTAAACATATTTTAAATTTTAGTAAGTTATGCAATTAGTTTAATATGATAGAGATTGGAAAATGCTAATTGCATTCCCTAATTCTACTCAACTTTTACTCTTTCACTTCAACTTTCGATATAAACGTTTTTTTTTTTGTAACCCAAAAACAAAGAGTAAAAGTGAAAAAATAAATATTAAAAATTTATGTAGTAAAACTCGTTTTGATTATATCTAGATTTAGTAGTCCTGTCCTAGGCGTGACCTAATATACTTACGTGGCCCCCGAACTCCGTGGTAATCCAATTGGGCCTGGGCTCAATTTTGAAGGTGTCTTTGCAAAATTGGACCCTTCCATTGTAGTCCCATTCCGAGGCTGGGAAAATGCTATCCTTATTATTACCATCTGCTGGCATTATCATCTCCGTACAAATCTGGAACAATAACAATTAATAATAATAATAATAATAATAATAATAATTTTAACAACAACAACAACAATAATGGGGGTGTTTGGTAGACAATTGTTAGCTGATTGGGTTAGTGGGTTTGCCTAGTTGATAACATTAGCTGATTATAGAAAGATGTTTAGTAAATTAATTGTTAGCTGATAGCTGATTACATGCAAAATGATTTTCTTATACTTACTCTCTAATTTCTAAATTGAAAAAAAATGTATAAGGATTTTTTTTTTTCCTTTATAAAGAAAGAAAGAAAAAAGTTTCATTAGTAAATGCAGCACCGTAATCATACTTAAACTTTTCTAATGTTAGAAAAAAAATTGAAATAGGGTTCACACCAGAGTTTGATTATAGTAATATCTTTATATATATGAGTTGAGTTCAAATGAGGACCACTATATTATAGAGGAATGTGAGGACTGGTGTAGTCATATGCCACAGTTTGTATGTTGTGTGCATATGTTTATTAATTAATAGATCTTGGGTTCGAAACTTGGTGTTTACATGTATTCTTGTGTGCCATCGAAACTTGGTGTTTACATGTATTCTTGTGTGCCATTGTGTGCATAATACTAATTTGTTGTGTGTCCGTAATCAGTCCGCACAATTCTCTATATATTTTGATCCTTATGTCAACTCAACCCTATATATATATATATATGAGATCAAATCTAATTAATTTTAATGGTCTACATTAAATATTTCCTCAATTGAAAGATAAAATTTGAAATTTGGAAAAATTGAAAAACTGATTGATTTCATTTGAAATAACTGGACAAAAAGTTTTAGATATAAGCTGGTACCTGCCAGTTCCACTGTGCAGCACTTTGTTCAAAATCTAAAGGATTTCCGGGATCAAAACAATTGACTTCCCTGCTGTAGTTATAGCATATGTTCACTGCTGCATACAGCTTCTTCACTGGGTCACTCCCATGCCTTGGATCATCAATTGCTTTACACATCTATTTATTTTACACAATTATTTACTTTCATCTTCAAAATGATTTAATAATAATAATAATAATAGTAATAATAATGTGGAGTTTATTACTTGTTTGATAGGATAAGGTGGCAACGGATTGAAGAGGTTTCCAGGAGTTGGATAATCAGCCATGGCTGTGGAAATGTATGCTGAACCAAGCCAATCTACAAGGCTGCCTATACTAAAATTTGTCCTATGTATATATATTCATAAAAATTAAATTAAAGCAGAGAAAAATGTTATATATTATTAGGTTAAAAATGATATGATTTAAGTAAATTAAACATAAATTAATTAAACTTACTTGCTGCATATCCTGAATGATTTTCTGAGTCTCTCTAATCCACCACTTTGTTTAGCTATGTCTTGAAGAAATTGCCATGATCCCTTGATCACCTTGTAGCAATTCTCACTCTCACTCTATTAAACAATATATATAGGATGTTTCATTTTGAATTTTTTTAAATTAAAAATTGACCCACCCTCAAGGGCCTGACACAACATTTTGGAGATTGTAGATCACGATGACTCAATGGTTCAACAGACAGCTGGTAAAATGTCGATGCGGACAAGAGATCTGCCCACTTTGAACATAATCCCCACACTATTGGTGCTGAGATTCGAACTTTAATCTCTTTTCTCAAATACTGTCTACTGAACCAGTGAGACAAATAGGTTCTCAGATTCTACCAAATGCCATGCTTTGACAATTTTTTTTAAAGTGAAACTCTACACATATATTTTAGGAAAGTGCAAGAGATTAGAGCAAGAAATATAATTACCCTAAAGTCTTGGGTGACGACATCATTGTAGGCATAAGGGGAAATAATATTGTCATAAAGGAGGATTGGAGCTGAAGATGCCAATGCTCCAATGGTCACATGTGGGTACTTCAGTCTAAACCATGTTGCCAATGCTGTCCACAAGTTTTAAACCAAAAATAATAATAATAATAATAATAATAAATCATACCCACCAATAATAAGTCAATTAAAAAAATGATTAAATGCAAAAAAGGAAAGCACATACATCCTCCATAAGAACCTCCGAACACCACTACTGGTGAATCAATTACTGTCAAATTCTTTTTCAGATCAATTATCAAAGTTGCATAATCTGCCAATGCCTGTGTTGAACTCAAATACCCTAGTGTTTTCGAACTCGAAGTTGCTTCTTTCACTCCTCCAAATGGTACAGACTTTCCATAAAACCGATGCTATGTTTTCAAAAAAAAAAATATTAATAAAAAGAATTTTAGTACTCTATGGTACGGTATAATTAATTCCAAAAAGATACCAAATTACCAATTAACTTCGTTCTAATTTGAATTTACCTCAATAAAGACAACAAGAGCATTGAAGTGGGGAGCAAATTCGATGATGGAGCCAGTTTCCCGAGCAAAGGGTTCAATGTCATCTTCACCTCCCATGTACACAAAGATTGGAGCCATATTCTTGGCACCACCCCAATATTTGTCATTGATGAGATACCTCTGCTGGAAAGTTTGGTAACTTTGAGGAGTAAATGTGAAGTGGTCAAGAATTTGAGTAAAATATTTTGTGTCATAAACTTGATTATTATAAGTGGTCTTGGTAGAAGCTGCTGAGAACCCATCTGGCTCGTTGATTATGGTAGGAAATGGAAATGGAAATGTGGGTGTAGTTTTGGCAAAGGAGATAGCAAAATAGGAGAAGAGGAGGAGCAATAATATTCTTGAATTCATGATTGTGCTTGTATACATGGAACTTAATTTTGTGTCTATTATGGTGTTCGATATTTATATATTAAATTATTACTCAAGTTTCATGTACACTACTGAAAAGTTTGAATATTATTTTGTTTTGGGTTGTGGAGCAATCTTATCAACAGGTACTGGCCCACTTGGGATAGTTCATATTGAAAATTCAAGTGCCACGTCATACCCTAGTGGAATTCTTTAAACATCACATCAAAGAATTTTATCGACTTTAATTTACGAGAAAACTAGCTCAAACTCATAAAGAGAGTTGCATTTGATAATTATCAACTCAATTAATTGACCTTACTTAAGTTTATACTTCTTGTAAACCCTTGTTATTAAAGTTGGAAAATACAATGGGGTAACCTTAATTAAGTTGGTCAAATAATTAATTTGAAGATGACCAAAAAAATCTATGTTTGAATTTTGAATCTTTGTAAGAGTTTAGATCACTAGCTATTAGAAACTTAAATAATATTATATATGGAATTGTAAATATTATTTTAAATTTAATAATAAGAATTTTATTAAACAATTGAGACAAAAACTTATGTGAGACCGTCTCACGGATCCTTATCGTCTGTGAGTTGGATCGGGTCAATATCAAATGTAGTACTTATACTAAAAAAATCTAATCTAATAATACTAATAAGGAATAAAATACTTATTACTTATATGAGAAAATGTAATACTTTTACATTTTGATATAAAAGTATTACATTTTTACTCAAAAGTAACAAACATGCATTTGACAATAACATTACTTATAAGGAAAAAAATGTAATACTTTTGTTAACTACCGAAATAGTCCATTGACTATAGTGAAATTATCAATTTAGTCCTTGAGTAATTAAGTCCTCAACTTTAAAAATCTTAACCAATTTGATCATATTCCCCATTTGTTTAGCTGTCAACATCCGTTTACTCATGACCAAATTGATAATTTCGCTTCAGTTTAATAAGAGAGGATGGAAATGACGTCACTAAAACACGTGCTTACAACTTGCCAAATTACACCTTCACTAAGGCTCGAACTCACAACCTTCCAAATGGAAGTCTAACACGGGTACCATTAGACCACATAGTCTTGGTTCTCAACATTATATATAAATGGATGAATATTGCTAAAATACGTAAATGTCAAGCGTTCCACGTTGTCGTTGACAAGTTCTTCTAATAATTTCACTACCCTTTTTCTAATAATTTAACAGCACGTTTGGTTCACGGAACGAATTTTAGGGTAATAAGAATGTTATTCCATAAGGAATGAAATATGCAAGGAATAGAATATGAATTATATTCTATTGTTTGATTTGCGGAAGGAATAGACTTTAGAAATTATATTACAGTGTTTGGTTGGTTTAAGCAATAGAAATGAAATATATTTTAAAAGACACAAATACCCTTATAAAAATATGTGGTACCGGTGGTGGTGGTGGTGGTAATTGTGGCGACAGTGGCGATGGCGGTGGTGGTGGTGGTGGTAATTGTGGTGACAGTGGCGGTGGCGGTGGCGGTGGTGAGGTGGTGGTGATGGTGGCGGTGATGATGGTGAAATAGGAAATAAATTTAATTAGGGGTAAAATAAGAAATATATATATATATATATATATATATATATATATATATATATATATATATATATATATATATATATATATATGTAAGGGTATTTTTGACATTTGTAATATAAAAGCTATTACATAAGCATGAGAATAATTAATACCGAAGGTTCCCCTTAGGAATGACTATTCCCCTTACAAAAGGAATAGGTCATTCCTAGGAATAATATTCTCATGACAAAGTGACGAACCAAACAATGGAATAGGTCTATTCCAAAGAATGTCTTGACATTTTTGACCTATTTCATGAATCAAACATGCCATAAGTGTAGTTTTCCCTAGTTTCTCCACATCCACATTCCTTGACAGTTGACATGTCGGCATGTCGCCAATGTGGGTCAGTGTTATTAACTTATTATGCTATTATTTAAAAAAAAAAAAAAAAAAAAAAAAAAAAAAAAAAAAAAAAACTTATTATGCTAAATGGGAATCTCGTAAACTTTGAAGGGAGAAATCTGAGGCAAATTCTACTGGAACCATGAATAAATGCTTTTTAATATATAGATGGTTCATTATTTGTATACTAAAAATTTATTATTTGAAAATATATTAAGTAATGAACTTTCAAAAAAAAAATAAACAGTTAATGTATTAAAAATAAATATTTAAAAAAAAAAAATAAACATTTAGTATATTAAAAATGTACTTTATGTTAGTGTTTCACCTTATAATTACTATGTGAATCATTGTCCATGGTTGAAAATCTTATGGCTGGGCCATTGGGATGTTATGATGTCAGGCAAAATTATATTATATATGAACTATGATCTATATTGTAATGTCAACCATTAATAAAAATTTTCAATAAATATTGAAAGTTTATTTTTAATATATTGAAAGCTCGAAGAGCACAGTTCAGCTTTGTGAGAGGCAAACAATTTAAATCTATATTGTTTACCTTGGCAATGCCAAGGTTGGACATCAATGAATTTGCTGTATTGCATTACCATTCTAAAATTTTCAATAATCTTTAGTTTCCTCACTTTTTTTCCCAATTCAAATATGTTGAAAATTAATTTCTCGATTACTCATCCTTTTTGTACCTATAATATATTCTGTATCATCAAATTAAATTTCTTACTTAGAAGAATTCAAATTCACTTAAATTCCAAATGAGTCATATCAAAAGTGGATATCACTAGAAATTATACAACAAAACATTTACAAAAAATGTCATTTTCATTCAGCCAAACTTTCCAACAAATAGCAATAATTCTATCACGCTACTACGTTATTAGCTGCATGCCTGACTGGAATTTCAGACCAATAATTCGTCACCCCAGTTTTATTTGTCATTCAGCCATATGTACATTGAACCAGTTGTTACACAGGGGACCATGGTCCACAGTGCTAGGTGTACCATGGTCGTGAAATGAAACTATAATAAAATTAAAATAACGCATTAATGTTGTTGTAATGAAACTAGTGTGTGAAAAATAAAACTAAAAAATAGAGCCTATTCAACAACGTATATTGTCAAATGAAACTGTAGTATAATTAAAATGATGATACTTTGGTGTTGTTATAATGAAACTGTAGATTTGTGTGAAAAGGTATTCTCACACCGAATATCATCTCAAAATATGGACTGAAATGATATCAAATAGAATGTTGGCTAAGCATAAAACATGTCAAGTAATTGAGAGCTAGCTCTAACAAGTTGATTGGAAAGTTCATAGAATTAAATAATTATGAAGGAATTAACAAAAGTACAAATTAAAGTAATATAACGAGCAATTGCAAAATAGTCTCTAAGTATTTATTTTCTCCACCACTTTAATTAATTATCTTTGTGTAATTATATTGTGGGATATTACATAAGAGTGGTGTTCAACCCGTGTGCACCTTTGAATAGTTATTGTGAATTTCTACGTAACCCAAAAAAAAAAAAATTAAAACAATCAAAATTCTAAATTAAATCTGTTAAACTATGATAATATTGAGAAATCCATTTCTGTATGATTTCAACCTCCTTCCTCCTCACATCTTTTAGCCATTTTGGATCTTCCTTTGTTGAGAATCTAAGGTCCACATGATGCGCACCTATTACAAACAAACAAACAAAAAAACAAATTTTTTCCCTTAAAAAATTATATACAGTCTCATTTGCATTTAAGCGCATGTAAATATATAATTTATGGTGTCTAAAACCTAATATTCGAGTAATACCCACTTTTAAGTTATATTAAGAAGGTCATATGATATAAACGATTCCAATACCTTAATTTAAATGTGTCAGAGAAATTACTAACCTTCTTTTGCGATAATAGCAACTAAAGATTTAGAGATATTTTTTAGCACCCTGTCAAATTAAAAGAAAATATTATTTTGATCAGTATAAATACCAAATATTTTTAAGTACATAATTAAATAAGTACAAATACACGCAAAAAAAAAAAAAAAAAGATTATTTATAATTTTATACTTACCCTCCCGCACTCCATGGATCCCTCAATCCGTTAAAGAAGATGATGTTGCTACCAAACCTTTTTAAAACCCTCTCAATGTTCTGTTCATTCAAACAACATTTGAACAATTGAAGCTCTTTTTCTTTTTCTTTTTAATGACAATATAATATAAAATATAAATATTGAAAAATTCAACATTGACAATTGTGAAAATAATGACTGATAAATATAGAAAGTAACTAAATATATTTTAAATTTTAATAAGTTATGCAATTAGTTTAACATGCATCACTTTCTATTTGTAGCAATCACTATTTTTTCCATCATATGATAGAGTTTTGATTGGAAAATGTAAATTGAAATCTCTAAATCTACTTTCAACTTTTACTCTCTCACTTAATATACTTACGTGGCCCCCGAACTCCGTGGTAATCCAATTGGGCCGGGGCTCGATTTTGAAGGCTTCTTTGCAATATTGGGCCCTTTCATTATAGTCCCATTCCGAAGCTGGGAAAATGCTATCCTTATTGCTACCACCTAATGGCATTATCATCTCCGTACAAGCCTAGAATAATAACAATTAATAATAATTTTAACCACAATAATAATAATAATAATAATAATAATAATAATAATAATAATAATAATAATAATAATATGCTTTTCATCTCTAATTTAGAGTTTATATTTTTATTTTGTAATTTATTGTGAAACCCAATGAGCTTTATATAATCATTATGTTTAACAATATAATTAATATTTCGTTATTTTCTACAAACCATTTGCAGGAATAATGTAACTAATGATAAGTTGTCAAAGGCTCAAAGCTCAAGATCACCATATATTTTAAATTATAATTTACCAAATTTATAGTTAATTAAATGAAATCAGATTATTTAAAATAATTTGGTTCAAAAGTGGTAGGGTATATACACACAAACGTTTAGGGCTTGTTTACTAATCGAAACATTTCTCTAATTTTTTGAAAAACTAAAAAATTGGAGAACAAAAAATATAAAACATGTTTACTAACACAGTTTTCTAAGTTTTTTTAAAAACTGGAAAACTACTAAAAACTGTTTTCTATTTGGTTTAGTGGTTCACTTTTTACTGCTTAGGTTTGGTCTAACATTTATGGTTTAGATTTAATATTTAATTTTTAAGGTGCGTGGTTTTTGTGCTTAAGGTGCGTGATTTTTGTGCTTAAGGTGCGTGGAGACTGGAGTTTGTGTTTCAGGTCCGTGAGTTTTGTGCTTAAGGTGCGTGGGTTGTGTACTTAATGTGAGTAGTTGTTGAAACTTAAAGGTGTGTGAGTTTTGTACTTAAGGTGCGTGAGTTTTGTGCTTAAGGTGCGTGGATTTTGTGTTTAATGTGAATAGTTGTTGAAACTTAAGGTGCGTGAGTTTTCTTCTTAAGGTGCGTTGTTTTCCTTCTTAAGATGCGTGATTTGTATGCTTAAGGTGCGTCATGCTTAAGGTGAAACTTAAGGTGAACCATTTTAAAACCTTAGGTGCGTGGTTTGTGTTCTTAAGGTGCTTTGTTGTGTGCTTAAGGTGCGTGGTTTGTGTTCTTAAGGTGTTTTGTTTGTGTGCTTAAGGTGTATGGTTTGTGTACTTTAGGTGCATCATTTTAGTGCTTAAGGTGTGTGGTTTGTGTTCTTAAGGTGTTTTGTTTGTGTGCTTAAGGTGCGTGGTTTGTGTACATTTAAGGTGCACCATTTTAATGCTTAAGGTGCGTCCTTCGCACAACCGCACGGAACCCTTCACCTAAACCCTCCCCCCCCCCCCCCCCCCCTTCTCTCTGTATATATATATATATATATATATATATATATATATATATATATATATATATATATATATAATGCTGAGACCTTCATATTTCTCAATTTATCGATTAGATTATCTCTCTATCTCTCTCTAATTTTTTATTTTTTTTGAAAGAGGACCGAAAATTATGAATTCTAAATTATCCTTTAAGGTAAATTAGTCTATTTATAAAACTAATGCATCGGCAAAACAAGAAGAGATTCATACTTTTCCTCCCATTCTACACCTATTCATTGCCAACAAAAAAAACTAAAAAACTCACTACCAATTCATTCCCTTATACTCCAACTTCGACTACACGACCTTCAATGACATACTAGCACCCTAACTCCCGCACACTAAAAAAATGCACACAACTGACCATGAAAAAGCACAACTTAACGTCGAAGACTGCACAACTACAGTGGCCACAGTGCACAATAGTACATTGTGCACTGTATTAATGCATGATCCACAGGTTTCGATATGCTTTGACTCCTATATCAATGCATGAGCATGTGCTTTAACATATGGAGTATAACCATGCTTTATTTGTTCTAAGAATTTTTTTTTTTATTAATTTGTAAAAAAATGTGAATTTATCCATATTTTATACCTTCCATTTATATTGATCTTATGAATAATGTTTTTTGTATTAATTTAATCTTTCTTAAAAAATTTAAAATTAAATCTCAGTGAATTAGTTATAAATTTAATGAATTACAATTTTGCTCCAAATAAATTATAGAAAAATCACAATCATTAATTTATCAAAATAAATATATAATGATAAATTCTCACTTTTTACATGGATGTCTTGTCATTTAAAAAAAGCACAATAATTACAATATAATTAACCACTAATTAATACGGAGTATAAGTTTTCCCCATCTTTAAGCTTCATCAACTCGATCATGATCCAAAGCCTAGCTTATTAAAATAATTGTACATTGAAATTTAAAATCCCACCCAACTTGGCAACTTCACCAACTAGTTTAGCTGGCTGTCCATGAACTATTAAAACGTTGTGGGTAAAATAATGTCCTATAATTATTTTTTTTTAATGACACTTCAATCTTTCATTAATTATGGTAATAATTTGGATTTAGTTTTTTAGTTACTTATTCAATATGTCTTTAAATTTTTTACTGAAATAGTTGATTTAATCTCTATATTTAAAATTTCTGTAAAAACAAAAATGACCAATAAATTTGAAAAGTTCTCAATGAGTAAATTGAAGAAATACCATGTATGATGTATGGAATTGTTGGGTGTCGTCCGAGTTCAACACGTGCTCGATTCGAGACGTGGCGTTGTGGCTTACCATGGAGAGATGGGGTTAAATGGTCCACCTATTTATCACCGGTTGGTTTTAAATAGGATATGACAACCAGATATAGTTAAGTGTGCTTGACTTACTGCAGTCACAGAATGGGTGCCCTGGGAAGTAAGCATAATGCAGCGCTGAGGTCCATCAATTGGTATCAGAGCCGTGGTCACGGGTTCGAATCGATGGTGAGGCGAAAGCCGAGTCTAGTCCCAGGTGGAATGTGGCGTAGGTCGGGCCAAGTCCTGGGAGGGGATGATGGGCGCAGAGGGTAAGGACCGAGTCAGGCATGCTGCGCAACTGGGCTTGGTGTTCAAAGGTTACCGCAGGTGCTCGGGGATTGTTGGGATTGTTGAGCGTCAGCCGGGTTGGCTGAATTCAGCCCCTGCTCGATTCGAGACATTAGGGTATACTGCGCAACTGAGCTTGGTGTTCAAAGGTTGCAGCAGGTGCTGGGGAATTGTTGGGCCTCGGCCGAGACCTACTTATTAACAATTGGTTTTAAGTAGAATATAACAATCAAATAGTTAAAATAACTCTATGATTTAATAAGAGTAAAATAGAGTACTAATTATGCCAATTTGAGTAGAATATAACAATCAAATAGTTAAAACAACAATTTGGACTTAAAAAAACTAATAGCAGTATCATTGGAAGAAGCATTATCAACAGTGACAGAAAAAACATCCCTAATCCCCCAGTCAATCAAACAACTCTCTAATGCCTTGGCTATATGCTCACCCTTGTGAGAAGAAATAGGGACAAAGAATATGATTTTCTTATTCAGCTTCCACTGATCATCTATGAAATGGGCTGTAATGCACATATAATTGATCCTCTGCACAGAGGTCCAGGTATCAGTTGTCAAACTGACCCTTTGAGTGTTAAGTCTAAACAGCTTCTTGAGGTTTAATCTTTCATCAAGGTAAATTTGGTAAATGTCCCTTGAAATTGTCCACCTAGAAGGTATACAAAATCTAGGGCAAGCAACCAAAATAAACCTTTTAAAACCTTGCCCCTCCACAAACCTAAATGGAAGCTCATCAATAATTATCATCTCACATAATGCCCTCCTAATGGCTTCCTGATTGAAAACCCAAGTCCCTAACTCCCCAACAACCCCTTCAGAACCCCCACCCCCTTGAGTATCAAATGTTGTCATTGCAGTGAAAGTAAGCAGTGACTGCCTAGTCTCCTTAGAATGTGGATTTTTTAGACAAGCCAACATATGATTTCTTAAAGAGGTAGTACCATGCTTTTTACTCTCACAGTGATAGACTTTAGCACAATATATACATTTCCCCTTTACTACTTTGTTTTCAGAATCATATATCTTTTCAAAATGTTCCCAGACCTTAGATCTAGACTCCACATTCTTCCTCTTCTGTGCAGGAACAGCAGGATTAACCTCAGGCTGCTGAGGAGCATTTGTCTCAGTGCCTTGGGTTACTCCTCCAGGCCCCTCCTCAGTTGAGGGTGGAAGTCCAGATTGAGTCATTTGAGTGGCACTTTCCATCTACAAAGATGGGTACCAGTTTTCACTTTTCAGTTTGTGTGAGTGTGACATAACACATTAACACTAAAACTACCACATAAATTACATAATAAACAATTAAACATACAAAGATATCCAGAATCAGACACATGGACATAGTAGTTTGTGTCATCATTTTTCCAGATTTAACAATTAGCAATTAAGGGTCATACATCCATAAACTGATAGACATAATAACATATACAATTATACAAACAAATCCAGATTCAGGAACTCAGTCCAGATCATCATTATCTGGATTTGAGTTAAGGGCTTCCACCAATAAATGGAAATTCACACACTGGAGATTTCACATTTTAGCCTTTAACTCGGATTGGTAGATTACAAATTTGCATGGAATAAAATTCAGATTTCACAAAATCAACACTTAGAAATTAGTTTGTAAAAGGCTTCCACCAACAAATAGCATAATATATGAATATATCACCAAATATTCATCACAGACTCATTGTAGAAAAGACAGAACACAATACATCTCAGTATCTCACATAAATGAAGATATATAAAACTAGGGTTTTCGATTTCACACTGCTTTCTCAAAATATTCACCACATATCATCATAATGATATAATATAACACAAAGTCACAAACATTTTCTTAATATAAACTAGGGTTTACGATTTACTTGATTTCTCCCAAATAATCCCCGGAGAACAAGGGCTTCTAATCACCAGTTCACCACGGCTTCCACCACTTAGACTCTCAGAGAGACAGAGACAGAGAGTAAGAGATTAGAGATTAGAGATTGCAACGCTTCGATTCTGAGAACCCTGAGATTAGACAATAGAGATTAAGAGATTAGAGATTTAGAGATTACAGATTAGAGAGTAAGACTGTAAGAGATTAGAGATTAGAGAAATAGAGACTAAGATATTAGAGATTAAGAGATTAGAGATTTACCTTACGGATTTACAGAATCAGAGATGACTGATGAGTCTTGAGAGAACTGAGACTCTGAGAGACTGAGAGTCTGAGACTCTGAGTCTCTGAGAGAGTGAGACTCTGAGAGTCTGAGAGACTGAGAGAGTGAGAGTCTGAGAGAGTTGAGAGTCTGAGAGAGTTGAGAGTCGAGAGAATGAGAGATGCGATCTCAGATCTCAAACCCTAGGTCAGCTGCGCAGATGAGATAATGAAGACCAAGTGTTGGAAGGCATATATATATACATTGATGGAACGGCGCCGTTTAATACAAAGCCTTAGGGAACCCTAGCATAGTTCGGGTATTCGGACGGGTCGGTTGGCAAAATTGTATACCCCACCCGAACCTTCTAAACCGACGCCGTATTGCATGGCGGATCGGGTAATGAGAGTCGGGTTCGGGTCATTCCGGGTTGGTCTCTCTCGGTCGTCGGGTCGGTCGGTTTGAACGGGTGGGTCGGGTTGTGCACAGGCCTAATCACACTTTAATTCTACTATTTAATGGCTAAATAAATGAAAAAAAAATGTAGACGCCTAAGTAACATTCATTAAACTAATATAATATTTAAAAAATCAGTGTAATGAAAGGTAAGTAAATGGTCGCATTTTAATTACTTTCAAAAGTGGATCCTACTAGCTTTCACATCATCAAATTTGCAATTCCTTTACTATTTTTCTACATCCTTGCAATACCCTCTCACTTTTAAAAAACAGTCCAACTTTCAATAATATATATATATATATATATATATATATATATATATATATATATATATATATATATATATATATATATATATATATATATATATAGATCGAAAACTGGAAAACTTTGACAACTTTTTATGTCATTTGCAAGTTTTCTAAAAAAGAAAGCTTGCAACAAATGTAAGCAAAAAAAAAAAAAGATTAAAAAAATTATTTTATACAAAAGTATGCCAGGCCGCATCATCGATTTTGCAATTGGCAAAATTTTTGGGATGAAGACAACCTAAAGTGTGGAGTTGGAGTACAATGCATTAAAAAAAAAAGAATGAGAGTCAAATTAGTCATCAAACTACACCCAAAAAATCTGATTAGACTGTAATTTATTTATTTTTTAAAAGAAGAAGAAGTAATTGACTCATTAAACCAGCTAAAATATGCAATCCACACCAAAATGACATGTTATACTTGTGACAAGAGGTGGAATCGTCCACCTCAGGCCCGACAGTTTGTGAAGGAATTAATCATGATGATTTAACTGACCAGACTAAACTTTTGCCCACTAACAACTCAAAAAATAAAAAATAAGGACATAATATAAGATCGAACCCGCTATTAATTTTTGGTTATAAACTTATAATAATATCCTTGTTTTGGGTATGAAACAATGTTGGATTACTAAGGTAAGGAATCTAGCTAGCTAGCTGGGTACGGTGATATTCCTCAAGGGCTGTATTTTGACTAAAAATGACAGAAGAATAAGACAATTTATAGTAACATGGCGAGGGATATATGATCGATGATGATGAAGGTGGAGAGTACATGACAGTGTTTGAAACAATTAAATTATTTGAAAATACGTATTTAAATATCCACATTTCTGGAGTTTCTCCATTTCCAAGTAAAAAGGCTATCTTGCATGTATGCATGTATCCCCAAATGTATACACTTGCATAGTTGCATTATACAAATAGAATTATAAATACCATGTATATATAATGAGTTTCATAACCCAACATCATGTGCTACATACATTGAAACTTCCTTTTGATATATTAAGATTATATTTTAAATTCACTCAATTTAATAATAGATTATTTATACTAAAAAAAAAAAATAAATCAAGTAAATTTTGCATAGCGGAGATACCATTTTGAGTGGGATAGTAATTGATAGTCAATTTGAGAATTATGGCATAATCAGATGATATTTTTTTATACAGTTTTCATGTTAGCATCACCGATGAGATTTTTTTATTTTTATTTTTATATTTAAATGGATGCACCAATGGAACTATGGAAGATGAAAATAGAAATAGAAACTTTGGTCCTTAAATTATAAGGTAGTGTAAGTTTAATTCCTGATTATTTTGAGTTGCAAATTTGGCTTTTAATTAGTCACAATAGCAATTATTTCGTCTTCTTGAGATAATGAAGGACAAAAAATGTAACTTTCATTAAGTGGTTCTATACTTCTATTTCAGTCAATATTGTAATTAATTAATAAGGGTCAAAATTATAATTTATAATACTTAAAAGACTAATTAAACTTATGCTGACTCTATAAAAGTGACATTTTCTCCAAAAAAAAAAAAAAAAACTAGTAAAAATATCAAAAGATAAAGTAGAGGTTCATTCTGGAAGAAAGTTTCAGCAGTCCTAGCATCCAATGATAGAAAATGTAAAAAACTCCGATGACCATTTCAAGACAATACGTTTTTATGATGTATTCCTAATTAATTAAGATGCGTTAATCGGTCCTCTCGTCCAAAAATACGAAGGATTATATTAGTTGCAATATAATTTAAACCTGGGATGCGGTTGAGTGGAATTGACTCATCCATCCTTAACCAAAGGTCAAGAGTTTGATTATTAACTTTAAGTACGGAACAACCTTAAATCTTCAGGTCAGCTGTCCCACCCAAAAAAGGTCCCTACGCTTCAGCGAGGGGATTAGTCACAGTGTCCGATGGTGAAAATCTTGGATACACTAAAAAAAAATTTGCAATATAATTGAAATAGAAAAGAATTCACGTCATAATTTGGCATCTGAGGACAATGTTTTGTTTGATGAGGTATTAGCAAAATGTCGTTCTTGGAATAAAAGTCTGGTCAAATGTTTTTCTGTCCTTAACTTGAGAAGCATGCATAGTTTACCCAAGTTTGGACATGCATGCATCTTCGACTCCTTGGAAGAAGAAATGAAAAGTAGTAGCTAGCTTTAATTGGGTGAGATTAGATTAGAATCTTATTTAGCTGTATATGAATCAAGTTGACTATATTTAACTTGGTCACTTGGACGTGCATGCATCTAATTAATTACGGAGTACAATTTTTGTCAATTTAATTTTGTTCCGTGAAGATGCAGATCCACTAATTCAATTGAAAACTTATAAACAACAATTTATTAGACGTAACACATTATAAATTTCACAATTAATACACAATTAAAATTATGTAATTAAATTAGAGAATAAAATTAAAATATAATTATATATTCAAAGTTTGTAATTGTTTAATTCGATTGATATAATGATATTAAAATTTAATTGTAACCTTAAAAAATTAATTTTGTATGGTGTGTAAAAATATACTATTGCATTTTATTTTTTTTTGGGTGCATCCATAAGTAGTTAGGGTACAGTATTTCTAGTCATTTTTCCATTTAATTATATGGGTCATAAGTAAAATTTGCATGTCCATCATTACACAGAAGTTGGACAAAAATTTCTATCTACTTGAAAAGTGGACAACAAAATATTAGATCGACAAATTAAAACATCTAGTCTTTGACCTTATCAGATTGAAAAAATGGAATAATCACACCTTTTCCTCTATCATTGATAAAATCAAGTGTTCAACACAAGAATGAGGTGAAACCAACCACTCTAAAGAAACAGCCCGAGAGCTCGTGGCTCTAGCAAGAGCATGAGCTAATTACTTCGCAAATCGTTTAAGAGACGGTTACATTTCTAATAAAAAATTTTAATATTAAATATTAATATTTAGCACTTAATTTTTTACCTCGAACATATAAAAACTAGGTTAATTTTAAACGTGAAGTAGAATGCATACTTCAGTACTTCTACAAACTCTTGAAAAGAAATAAAACTTCGGTCTAAATTGAAGTCTTTAACATATAACATAGTGACACATAAATGAATACTCCGTAATAATTTAAATTGGAACAAATTGCACTTTTGGTCCTGTGAGTATTAGGGTACTGACAATTTGAGTACGTGACTTTCAAAACTCCCAATTTAAACCTTTAACTATGCAATTTTTGGCAGATTTGGTCCTCCAGGCCAAATTGCCGGCCAATTTTGGCCGGAAAAATTAAAACTATTTTTAATTATTTAATTATGAGGGCAAATTGGTCATTTTAGAGTCTTCTTCATTCACCCCCTTCTTCTTCGTTCCTCTTCTTCTTCGTTCTTCTTCTTCTTCATCCTTGCACTGGGAGCTGAGTCGTCCCCTGTTTCTGTCGCTTCTCCGGTGTCCAGTGCCGCCGCCACCGCCGCTCCCTCACCTATAATCGCCATGCCTCCGCCGTCTCCGTCGTCCACTACCGCCACTGCTATCCTTAACTTCGTATGGTCTATAACGGTTGACATTATCGTGTTAGTTGCTTTGTTTTCATGTTTTGATCGAGTAACCTCTATTCCCTGGACGATAGGTCGCAAACGGAGCCGGTGACTTTGAAGCCTTTTGCCTGCCATTCCCGGTGACTTTGAAGCCTTTTCCAGAAGCGCCACATTCAAACCTCCACGCCAATGGACACGTGCCGCCTCTCGCTGCCGGAAATCCTCCGGATCCTGTCCGTGTCGCCAACCCGAGCTCCTGCAACGTGACTCAACCCGAGTTCTTCGATCAACTGAGTCACCCGTGATCCCAGCTCCGGTGCTGGCAGCCTCAGCCGGATGGGGCCGACGATGGCAAGAATCTCACATGGCTTCGCGTGGCAGCTCACATCCTTCAACACAACACGAACTCCCCCGCCGTCGCCCGATAATTTCTCTTCTTCATCTCAGACATCTCTGCTGAAGAGCTTGAAATGGCGGCGGCGATGGTGTTTTTGGTGAGTGGAGATTGAGTAGCTGATGCCCAATGATTCAACTTCACAACCTTGCTTCTTCATTATATCCAGCCAAGAGGAGGATCGGATCGGATCGGAGATTAATTTGGCTCCCAGTGCAAGGATGAAGAAGAAGAAGAATGAAGAAGAAGGGGGTGAATGAAGAAGAAGACTCTAAAATGACCAATTTGCCCTCATAATTAAATAATTAAAAATAGTTTTAATTTTTCCGGCCAAAATTGGCCGGCAATTTGGCCCGGAGGACCAAATCTGCCAAAAATTGCATAGTTAAAGGTTTAAATTGGGAGTTTTGAAAGTCACATACTCAAATTGTCAGTACCCTAATACTCACAGGACCAAAAGTGCAATTTGTTCTTTAAATTGATAGCTTTGAACTGACGTGTTGACAAATAAATATCATTTTATGTTACTAAATGATTATAATATAATGATCTATCTCCACCTTAGCTTCTTCCCGCTAGTTACGTTATTGCACGTATCTGATGCTATGGTGGGTACATAGAAATATATGAACAATTAATTATATGAATTATTACATTATTAGAATTAGAAGTGCATTATAATTAATTATATATTATATTATTAGATTAAAGATATATTATAGAGTTAATTACCGAAATGGTTCATTGACTATAGCAAAATTTTCAATTTGGTCATTGACTATATTTTATAAATATAATCTCCGGTGAGCGCACTATAAATTTTATATCTACCTGCACAATGGGGCGCGAAATGACATTATGTTTAGTGGATAGTGCAACCACACATACTATCCTACGGATAGAAGGTTTTTTCTACCCTGACTGAGACAAGTATCAATATCACAACAATATCTAATGACGAGAACTCTTCCTAACGGTACTAAGCTAATAATTGAAATGTCTTGTTGCACCCCAATCTAAGCGTACATTGCTGAGTTTTAAAGACACTAGATCAAATGGTTCGTATATTGAACCTAAGTTATTTTACCCACATGAGCTCTACAAGAGGTGAAATTATTGTTGAGAAAGTTTGCTCTAGTGATAATTAGCATATTTTTCACTAACTCCCTGCATACATCCACTTTTGAGAAATATGTTCATAAAATTGAGATGCGCAGGCTTGGAAGACGTACTATTGCCTTCTGGGAGAGCGACAACCACTAAGTGTACTTTAATAGACATTTTAGAAGACGTTGAAAATCCTGAAGATTATGCCCGAAAGACTTATAGTTGTACTGTTTTTTCCTTAACTAAGTTTTTTTTTTTTTTTTTTTTTTTTTTTTTTAAGTCTTTAATTAAGGACTTCTATGCATCATATGAAGCTTCAACGGAAGATATGAGCAGCTAAATAGGATAGGAGTAATTTCTAAGAAGGGCGCTAATAATAAGTAGGTCATCATGGTACCAAATCATATAGCAAGGATTCAAAATAGTGTTCACAACATCAGAAAATTGGAGAAGAGCTTTAATACTTCCACGGACTATTGCGCAAGGATTCTAGAGGCTTAGGATTAGTCTAGCGTAAACTGAGAAACCTATGGTACATTTACTAACAAAAAGTTGTTCTCTGTTTTCTATTTTCTATTTTTTTTTTTCAGTTTTCATTCTCTGTTTTTTGTTTAGAAAACCCTTGTTTACTGACAAAAAATTTTCTCTGTTTTCTATTTTCTAATTTTTCAGTTTTCACCTAAAATTTAGTTTTTATAATATTAATATTTGAGTTAATATTTAAAATATTTTTTGGATATATTCATTTCAATGACATGTATATGAATATATAACTTTTACTTTGGATTCTAATATATGTGAGATTTCAATATCCGATATCTGGACTGAACTTCTATTACGATGTAACATAATTAAAAATATTCGAACTAATAATCTATTGAGTTCAATCAAAATCTAAAACATTATATAGAGTTTAATTATTAATTTTGATAATGTAAATAATGTCTAACTTTAAAGTGTAAGCAAATAAGTTATGTTTAAATAAGTAAAGTAAGTAGAAGAGATAGAAGATAGTGATAAGTAAAATAAAATGATAATGAATGTAATTATAGGAATGTGGTTATAGTGACATATAACTAAATAGATGATAGATGATTATGTTTTCCATTTAGAAAATAATTTTTAAGAGTGTGTTCCAGTTTTTCAAAAATTTTCAAAAATTATTTTCAGTTTTCAAAATGGGAAACTGTGCTAGTAAACATGTTTTGTGTTTTCTATTTTTCAGTTAGTAAACGGCCCCCTAATGTATCAAAAAAAAAAAAAAAATCCTTCGAGCTTTACATGGTAGGTAGACATTTCAATTTCTTTCCTACATAACTACATTATTTCCAAGGACCTTATAGTCCAATAACACCCAAATTATCCCTCACAATGGAGGTTGAAGGATCGAGTCTTAGTGGAAGCTCTTTATACTTCAATAGGTTGAGATTGATTCTTTATACTTCAATAGGTCGAGAACCTAGATACTGCATTGTAATAAAATCAATAGTATTAAAAAAAAAAAAACTACATTACTTGAATTATCTTCTATGAAATTACAATTTCCCTTTTCCTTCTAATTCCCTCCATACTACAAAATGCCCCCTAATTACAAGTGATCACTACAATCTTTGTTTTATTTCTACTGATGTGTAAATTAAAAAAGAAAAAAACGGAATATCATAATAAAGATAAAAGTAAATAATTTTTTTGATACACCATCTGACATCTCATCTCTATGAAAATAATTTGAATTATACTCAAAAAATTTGATATCAATCTTTTAATATTTTAATTGTATTAACAATTCGTTCACCAACTAACTAATTTACATTTAAATTAATAATCAAAATATTTCAGAGTTTTTTACACTTTTAATTCCACGATTGTAGTGACACTATCAGGATTGATCAGCGACTTTCAAACTTTGTAATTACAGTCAATAACTATTGTTTTTGTTGAAAAAATAGTCTTTTCAGCCATTCCGTCAAAATCTCACCAACGAGTTACATTTACGTACCATTAGTGCCAATATTGGCATGTTGGGAACAATATATGAAAGAAATAACTGATTAATTAGTCTTTTTATAGGAGGTCTTTTTTTTTTTTTTTTTTTTGCAAAAAGAATGAAGAAATAATCATGGTAACCATTCAAGCCAACGAAATTAGTAATCTTACTCCCATTTTCAAACCCATTCACATCTATTACACGTGTTATATGTGTCTAGATCGACCTTTTTAACTTTCCGATGCATGGTTACGTTCAACCGTTTGAATGTGTCGACATGCATGTGGTGGACCAACATATCACACCACTATGCTTTTCAATTACTAATACAAAA